TTATATGAGTCCTTATATGTTAGATGAGTCTCCTGAAGGCAGAAGATAGTTGGTTGGTGAGTTCTTACCCATTCTGCAGCTCTGTATACTTTAAGTGTAGCATTTAGGCTATTTGCATTCAATGTTATTATTAAAAGGTGAGGTACCACTGCTTTCATCATGATTTTTGTTGTCTGTATACTTTAGTGCTTTTTGTTTTTTGGTTTTTTTTTTTTTACAGAAAAGTCAGCATTATATTTTATTTCACATTGATAGAAACCATGAAAAACATTTACATTTTCCCATGTTACAGCACAACAATTCAATGGAATATTTCTTGCCATAAATAATATCTTGCTGATATTTAGAACTGAAACAACTATTTATGTTCTTCAAGGTAAAGAAAAATGACATAGTAAATGATTGTTTAAAATGTTTAAATCCAGACATAAACATATGGCTTCATTATTAACATCCTATATAGTCTGTTACTAAATTATTTCCATTATCGATTAGCACCCATTTATAAAGATACATTCTTAATAATGTTTTGGTCAGCTGGAATACAGCAGAAAAATTAACACAGCTCAGAAATATCCAGCATACATTTTTTTTTTTTTTTTTAGTAGACACAAGGTCCTGCTATGTTGTCCCATTCTGGTCTCAAACTCCTGGGCTCAAGGGGGATCCTCCCACTTTGGCCTCCCAAAGTGCTGGAATGACAGGTGTGAGCCACTTTGCCCTGCATATTTATTTAGTTTTACCCGTGTGTTTAGCATTTCCTGTTCACCCTTCTTACATATTATATCTTTTTTTGAGATCATTTTTTTTTCTTCCTGAAGTACATCTTTTGGAGGTTTTTTTTAGTGGGGATCTATTGGTGGCAAACCCGGTTTTTGCCTGAAAATGCTTTTATTTGGCTTTCAGTCTTAAAGTTTTGCTAAGTATGGAATTGTTTTGATGGTTATTTTCTCTTAGTATTTTTAAAATATCATTGTCTTTTAATTTGTGTTGTTGATGTTTGGACATCAACTGTCATTTTGTTATTCTTTTGTTTGTTTGTTTTGTTGAGACAGAGTCTTGCTCTATTGCCCAGGCTGCAGTGCAGTGGCGTGATCTTGGCTTACTGCAACCTCCACCTCCTGGATTCAAGCAATTCTTCTGCCTGAGCCTCCTGAGTAGCTGGGATTACAGGCATGTGCCACTATGCCCAGCTAACTTTTTGTATTTTTAGTAGAGACGGGGGTTTCACTATGTTGGTCAGGCTGGGTCTCGAACTCTTGTCCTTGTGATCTGCCTGCCTCGGTCTCCCAAATTGCTGGGATTACAGGTATGAGCCACCACACCCAGTCAGTTGTTATTCTTTTGTAGGTAATTTGCCTTTCCTTGCTGCAGTTTCACTATGATGTATCTTGATGAATATTAAAACATTTGTCATCCTAGGATTTTCTGTGATTTCTGTCTCTAAGGAATGATATTTTCTGTCTGTTCTAGAAACTTTTCAGCTACTGTGTCTTCTTATTTTTCTTCATTTTTGAACTCTGATTAGATATATGTTGGCTCTTTGGTTATTTATTAATTCCACAGATATGTATAGGCCATTCACTGTGTGCCAAGGGCTGGTAATAAAGCAGAGAATAAAATAGACAATAATCTCTTCCCCTCATTGACTTTATTGTTCTCAGTCATCTCTTCAAAGATTGTATCTTCCTTATTTCTATTCTTGTACCACTCTTACTAGATGTATGTTGGGTCTTTTCATTCTGTCTTCTGTGTTTCATAATTTTGTATTTTCCATCTTAGGGTTCTTCATAGTGCTTCCTTCATAATCATCAAATCTGCTTTTCTGTTCATTACTTTTCAGCTGTGTTTTATCTTTTTTTTTTTTTTTTTAACTCCCCATTAAATGTTAAAGTTTCAGTTAGTACATTATTTATTTCCAGGAGTTCTGTTTGGATCCTTTTTAGATCTTGATCATTTCTGGTAGTCTTGTTCCTTCAGCATACTTTCAAGGTCTTCTTTTACATTGTTAAGCAGTTTAACCATGCTTATTTTATATTCCCTATCTAAAAATTCTAATATCTGCATTCTGATTTCATAGTTTTTGTTTCTCCTGACTCTAGCTCATGGTATTTTGTTTCTTCATGAGCTTAGTGATTTTTAATAAAATTGTGAGTTTATGTAATTTGGAACTTTTATCTGTGGGAATTCTTTGAGGCTTGAGTTTGCTGTGTATTTTTCCAAATAGGGTTTATGATGCTTCCTGGTAGGCACCTGGGGCACTATTAACAAAAACCAAACTAAATTATCAACTTGTGGTTTCTTTGGGCCATGTACTTGGTGTGAATTTGGCCTTAACCTGGGTGAATGCAGGCATACGGTTAGGAATTTTCATAGGACTCTTCTTCCTTTTTCCTGTACTACCAGGAGCCAAGGCCAAGATGAGTACTGTCTTGACTATCTTTCCAAAGGCATTGTTTCTTAAATTGTAGTAGAGGGTTCTCTGACCTTGAATTCCTGCCTGTTTAGGTCCCAGGTTTTGGCTCCTTACTGATTGCACAGGGCTCCTGGTAGCCAGGCTATGGACAACCAAAGATCATTGGATACCCTCAGGGCAAATGCTTACTTCTCTGAATCTGTGATTTGTTGTTGTTTCTGGGGGCTCTAAGGAATTCTTTCATTTTTACTGCTAGTTCAGCCATATATTACAATTATATATTTATAAAAGTAGGATATATAATACTATGTTTTTAATTGTATAAGAACAAATATAAAACATATATATGAAACATATCATATATAAAACATTATATAATATATATTATGTATTGAATGTTATCTAGGATTTTTACTGGAGATGTTTTTGGACCCTTTTTCTGTCATATTGCTGGAAACTAAAGTGCCATCTGTGTTTTTTTTTTTTTTTTTTTTTTTTTGAGACGGGGTTTCGCTCTTGTTACCCAGGCTGGAGTGCAATGGCGCGATCTCGGCTCACCGCAACCTCCGCCTCCTGGGTTCAGGCAATTCTCCTGCCTCAGCCTCCTGAGTAGCTGGGATTACACGCACGTGCCACCATGCCCAGCTAATGTTTTTGTATTTTTAGTAGAGACGGGGTTTCACCATGTTGACCAGGATGGTCTCGATCTCTTGACCTTGTGATCCACCCGCCTCGGCCTCCCAAAGTGCTGGGATTACAGGCTTGAGCCACCGCGCCCGGCGTCATCTGTGTTTTTAAAAGCTCCATAGTGGCTGGACACAGTGGCTCGCACCTGTAATCCCAGCACTTTGGGAGACTGGTGGCTCACACGGTAATCCCATTACTTTGAGAGGCCTGGCCAACGTGGCGAAACCCCATCTCTACTAAAAATACAAAAATTAGCTGGGCATATGGTGGCAGGTGTCTGTAGTCCCAACTACTTGGGAGGCTGAGGCAGGAGAATTGCATGAACCTAGGAGGCAGAGGTTGCAGTGAGCTGAGATCACCCCATTGCACTCCAGCCTAGGAGACAAGAGCGAAACTCTGTCTCAAAAAATAAATAAATAAATAAAAAATAAAAAGCTCCATAGTTATTCTAGTCTTTACAGAGGTTTGGTAGACCTGATGGTTGAAGCCAGAGGCTGAGGGGCAAAAGCAGTAGGTTTAGGAGTTGCTTTTGCCCCTCAACGGAAGCAACTTTTAAGCAAGAAGAAAACAGATTTAACCACTGATCATCTCCAGAGAGAAGGAAGAATGATCAAAGGAGACAGGAGACTGAGAAGAAACTGTGTACTAGGATTAGCATCTGGAGAGTTTGTTTTTCTAGAAGCCAAGAAACCAGAGAACTTTATGAAATGAGGACTGGCCAACAGTGTCAAGCTATAGCCCTGTCAAGGAGGATGAAAATTTAAAATAGACAAGGGATCTATAGGAGGCCATGTGAGCCTCCTGGTTGTCAGACTGTAATGAACTGAGGGCTTAATGGTAGTTATCAAATGGACATAGCAACTTTCAGGAAATTTGTTAGTGAACGGAAGAAAGGAAGTAGTTTGGTGGCTGAAGTGGAGGAAGAAGGGCTGAGGAAAGGTCCAATTAGAAGTTGTTATATAAAATATGTAACTTATAGGATTGCTTTTACTTTCAGTCCATAATTGGTCCATTGGAAAGTCATCCCCTTTTCTGACTTTGGCACTAATTTATGGTGATTATTTAGTTTGCAATCTTTTTTTCTAATTTTCCTTCTGTCTCCTAATTTTGACACATATATTATTTTCTTGTTTATTTTAAGGTGAAGTTGAAAAGAATTAAAATTAGAGTATAGGGTAAAATAATACAAATTTTAAAATGATACTATTTCAGTATTGCAGGTGTGTATAATCAAATGCTTAATGGGAATTCAGGGGGGGACAATTCATCCAATACTTCTCTATTCCTGTGACTTGCATGTATTACTTAATCTGACATTTCTCTCATGAACTGAGTTTACTCAATTACTTTTCTCATCTGGAAAAGAAAACAAGACTCCAGCTACTTATTTGAAATCCTGCTCTTAAATTGTTCCTAAGAAAATCGACAGAATCAGATTCCTTTTGGGTTACTGTATAAGAAAAATATTGTTATTGCACATTAGTAGATTATTTGAAGGCATCTTGTAGATGGCTATGATATATTTTTGTCATTTTTCAGGTGAGGAAAATAAAAATGCTAAACATTAAGAAAAATCATGGCTGGGCACAGTGGCTCACACCTGTAATTCCAGCACTTTGAAAGGCTGAGGCGGGTGGATTGCTTGAGCCCCGGAGTTTGAGTCCAGCCTGGGCAATATGGCGAAACTTTGTCTATAAAAATACAAAAATTAGGTGCGCATGGTGATGTGTACCTGTAATCCCAGCTACTGGTAGTCAGGGCTGAGGTGGGATCTTTTGAGCCCAGAAGGCTGCAGTGAGCAGTGATCACACTACTGCATTAGGGCCTGGGTGACAGGACGAGACCCTGTTTCCAAAGAAAAAAAAGAAAAGGAAAATGGTGATTCCATTAGAGAACTCAAACCAATCATAAAGAATATAACATTTTTAGCATTCACGTGTGAGGAACTTCTGTGTCATTGGAGGTTGGGAGAATTAATTAATAACATTCGTGATTCTGCTGAGATATTTTTCCTTCTGTTGGTTAAAATAATTTATGTTGTTTTGTTTTTAAGAAATGGGTTTCACTATGTTGCCCAAGCTGGAGTAGAGTGACTGTTTACAGGGTATGATCATCAGGCACTAGAACCTCGGGCTCCTGGTCTCAAGTGATCCTCCCATCTAGCCTCTAAATAGAAATGCATCATTTTTATATATTGTAAAATATCTCAGCTCGTACCACTGCTCCCAGCTCATAATTTCTTTTTTTGTTGTTTTTTGAAAAGTTTTTTTACTTTTAATTTTTATGGGTACATAGTGGATGTACATATTCATGGGTCACATGAGATTTTTGAAAAATATGATTAATTTATTAATTTATATTTTTATTATTTTAAATTTTTTATTTTATTTATTTTTCTGAGATGGAGTCTCACTCTTTTGCCCAGACTGGAGTGCAGTGGCACAATCTCGACTCACTCCAACCTCTGCCTCTGGGTTCAAGCAGTTCTCCTGCCTCATCCTCCCAAGTAGCTGGGACTACAGGCATGTGCCACCACGCCCAGCTAATTTTTGTATTTTCAATAGAGATGGCATTTCACCATGTTGACCGGACTGGTCTCAAACTCCTGACTTCAAGTGATCTGCCTGCTTCGGCCTCCCAAAGTGCTGGGATTACAGGTGTGAGCCACCGTGCCAAGCCGATTATTTATTTATTTGTTTATTTATTGAGATAGAATCTTGCTCTGTCTCTGTCACCGAGGCTGGAGTGCAGTGGCACAATCTTGGCTCACTGCAACCTCCGCCTCCCAAGTTCAAGCGATTCTCCTGCCTCAGCTTCCCAAGTAGCTGGAATTACAAGTGTGCACCACCATGCCTGGCTAATTTTTTGTATTTTTAACAGAGTTGTGGTTTCACCATGTTGGCCAGGCTGGTCTCAAACTCCTGACCTCAGGTGATCCACCCACCTCGGCCTCCCAAAGTGCTGGGATTACAGGTGTGAGCCACTGTGCCTGGCCTATTTTTATTTTTTTGAGACAGTCGCGCTCTGTTGCCCAGGCTGGAGTGCAGTTGCTCAATCTTAGCTCATTGCAGCCTGTGCCTCCCGGTTCAAGCGATTCTCCTTCCTCAGCGTCCCGAGTAGCTGGAATTACAGGCCCCTGCCACCATGCCCTGCTAATTTTTTTGTATTTTTAGTAGAGACAGGGTTTCACCATATTGGCTAGGCTGGCCTTGAACTCCTTTTGATCTGCCCACCTTGGCCTCTGAAAGTGCTAGGATTACAGGCATGAGCCACTGTACCTGACCATTATTTTACTTTTTAGATACAGGATCTCACTCTGTCACCCAGGCTGGAGTACAGTGGCACCATCATGGCTCACTGCAGACTTGACTCCCTGGGCTCAAGTGATCTTCCTACCTCAGCCTTCCAGGTAGCCAGGACTACAGGCACATACCACTGTACCTGGCTAACGTGAAATATTTTGATGCAGGCATAGAGGGTATAATAATCACATTAGGGTAAATGAGGTATTCATTACCTCAAGCATTTATTCTTTCTTTGTATTATAAACGTCATTTATACTCTTTTAGTTATTTTAAAATGTACAGTAAATTATTGTTCATTGCAGTCATCCTGTTGAGCTATCAAATACTAGTTCTTATTCATTCTTTCTAACTATATTTTTGTACCCATTAATCTTTCCCACCCCAGCCACCCTTCTCAGCCTCTGGTAACTATAATTCTGTTCTTCCTCTCCAGGAGTTCAGTTGTTTCAATTTTTAGCTCCTACAAATGAGTAAGAACATGTAAAGTTTGTCTTTTTGTGCCTGGCTTGTTTGACTTAACATAATGACCTCCAGTTCCATCTAATGTTGTTGCAAGAGACAGGATCTCATTCTTTTTTTGTGGCTGAATCCCTTGCATATATGTACCATATTTTATTTATCCATTTGTCTGTTGCGGGACACTTAGGTTGCTTCCAAATCTTGGCTATTTTGAATGGTGCTGCAATAAACATGGGAGTGCAGATAGCTTTTCAATATATGGATTTCCTTTATTCTGGGTATATACCCAGCAGTGAGATTGCTGGATCTTATGGTAGTTCTACTTTCAGTTTTTTGAGGAGCCTCCATACTATTCTCCACAGTGGTTTTACTAATTTACATTCCCACCAACAGTGTACCAGGATTTTCTTTTCTCCACATCCTCACCAGCATTCATTATTGACTGTCTTTTGGATAAAAGCCATTTTACCTGGGTGAGATGATATCTCACTG